TCGAACGTTTGCGCCACGGAAGGAAGGAAGGAAGCAACTCGCCGTAGTCGTGGCCATAGCCACAGCCATAGCCGTCGCAGCCGTAGGCGTAGGCGTTGTCGTAAGCCTAGTCGTAGTCGTAGCCCAGGTATACCAGCCGTAGTCGCCGTAGTCGTCGTAGGACACGTTTTATACTAGACGTACTCGTCGTCGTAGTACTAGTAATTGAAACACGGTTGATCCTGGGTAACAATCAGTAGTAGTACCAGATATGGTACGAAGTAAATATTACCCGACTAATCAAACAGAGCAGTAGCAGGGGCAGGAGTGGCCGTCTGCGAGCACCACTATCAACGCCAACACCACCACCACTGCCACCACCGCCACGACCACCACGACCACCACGACCACCACGACCACCACGACCACCAACCACCACCACCACCACCACCACCACCACCACCACTCCAGCCCTACCACCGCCACGACGACTGATACGACGACTGCGAAGAAGAACAGCGATACTGTTGCAAGTATCATGATGACGATGAGGACGACACTGGCAGCATGACGGTGCTGAGACCGGATTCGGCAAGGATTTCCATTGTCAGCAGCAGCAACAGGCATATGGCAACCGTCGTCATCCCCTACATCATATTCATCATCTTTATCGTCATCATCATCATCATCATCATCATCATCTGAATCTGAGCATCACTATCATCATTGCAATCATCAGCAGAATCCTCGTCGTCAGCGCTTTGGGAAACCATCAGCCAAAACAAACTGAACCGCAACCACTCTCCCAAGAACGACGCTTCGCCCCGCCTCCCCTGGTGATCGGCGCAGCGCCACGAAGGAGACCTTCCTTCGCCTTCGTTCTGTGTGGGGGTTCTACACGGACGGCGTCGTACGAATCATCAAAGTTGCCATCAACATTCAAAATCTAGGATGTGAGATGGCCTGGGTCATGTCGCCTTACACATGCGTTGCGCTGCTCGAGATTGTAAAACGTTCCTTGGACATTCGGGTCTATGATCCTGGGTACTTTGGGTGTTTTTTGTTTGGTCCTCGGGTTGGTACGCTTCTGGTCTTTGCTGTCTTGCTTGGCAGGGACGGATATTGGGATAAACGAATAAAACACAGTCTCCCGCTAAAACCGCTGCGCGACGTTTATGAAGCATTGCAGTGCTCTGCTTAAGCCGTGCAGGGCTTGGGGGCTGGTGCGGGGTCGATTAACACTCCGAGTGTGGCGCCAGAGCAAGGATCGTCTTAACGTAGATCCGCGTAGGCGCCAAAAGGACCTGGCCACGAGGATTCATCGTGGTGTCCAGCTATCAGGCGTTATCGTGTGATGTTAGCCGTGACTCATTCAGCTGGTCCTAGTACAGGCGGTTCAAATCATGGACACAACCATTCCGATGATCGTTCTGGAATAGGTGGATTCCAGGTGGATCATCATGATACTGATAAGGTTGCTCGTCCTGATGATGGTGACGATACTTGCTCTGGCAATGCTAATGATGATGGCTTTAGTAAAGGTCACGGCATGGATGATGGGATATCTGTTCCTGATGGAACAAGACCTACGTGCACATAACATGCCAAGGCTCGCAAGTCCCCACGAGAGCAGGGGCGAAAAAAGAGCGAAAGAAGCCAAGGCAGGGCAACGACTTCAGGAAGATACAAAAACAACACGACATGTAGCATACAACACCACGGATTCGCGAGCAGGGGCTGGGCGAATTCTTTTGGAAGGCGAGTCAAGGCCAACGGATATCCGAAACGTCTGGCATCTCATCCTTCGTCACTTTCTCCCATGGCAGAGCTGGTCCTAGTTCCAGTGCTCCCCAATCAGTGTGGCCTTCCCTCGAGCCCTGCCTTCGGTTCCCCCCGCAACTCATGGAACCGGTCACATTCATGAGAGGAATGAAGACTTGGTAACACTTCCACGTATCGTTGTAGTCCCTATACAACTACACCAGGACATCCCCCAAAAAATCCAGCTAGGCCCAGCTCCTACATACTGCACCCCAAAGCCCACGTTCTAAACACTCCGAAATTTCTCAAGTCTTGAGGACGTCTGAGTTTCTTTAGAGTGCACTTTATTATCCATCGTAGGGGCCCACCTCTCCGAAGGACCGTGTGGGGTCGAAAGGTGCCGCCGCCTGATACCTCGGCAAAGAGCAGACATCGGGTTTAAGGTTTAGGGTTTAGGGTTCTTTGCGACTTTCTGGTGGCTTCTGGTCTAGAGTTCAAGCTGTAGCGTGTCTGGTGGGTCGTGCATCGACTCCCGCAAGCTTCATTTTCATCACCAGCGCCATGATGTCCGAGGCACCTTTGAAGACTGTGAAGATGGCAATTCATGGTGATGCTGCGATGCTTTGCTGTTGATGACGGGTCGCCGAAGATGACAACGATGATAGTGATCTGATAGTGATGACAGCAATGATGATGGTCAGGGTGTGGATGATGGTGATGACTGTGAAACGGTGGTCCGCCGTTGACACCACTGGTGGCACCGCTGCCTGCACAACTGCTGGTATTGCGGCTTCTCGAGTACTGAGCACTGGTTCTACCGCCTCGCGGCAACATGGCCCTCATCAACTGAGTGCACTGCCGGATCCCCGCAGCCTGGACGACCTGATGCAGGATTGCAAGGACAGAACTTGTTTTTTGTGGAGGGGAGGGGGGTTGCTTGGGTTTGGGTTTCGAGTATTCGGGCTTAGGTCATAAACTTGAATGCCATGAGCACAGTGACTCTCGGCTGTCCCTGCAGGTGTCGGGATGCTTTTGGAAATCAGGCTTCGTCCCGACTCCTGGTTGTCCAAACCCTTCTTACGACGACAACATATTACAATCGGCAACCCTAGCGGTCTTGAGGCGTTGCCAAGTGTTCGCGCACGGAAGGGAAATGTGAGTTGAACTGAAAAGAATCATCCTGAACACACCGCTGGCCAACCTCTGCGGCAACGACAACGACCGTGGCAAGTGGCCACTGATAGAAAAGGAACATGCGGCAACATTCTGAAGAATGCCTCTAAGCTTTCACACTGATGACATTGTGGCTTACTGCATCCACACACAAGAAGCTGTCACAACCTCGAAACAGTGGGCTCCGTACTGAGCGAAGCAGACTGAAGCCGTTGCTGTGCAGTCCAGACGACGAAAGGCCTCAGTCGTCATGCTTTCTCAGGGTTTCGGGGCTTCGGGTCTTGGGGGGAGCACGTTGATATCTGGCTGCCGTGGAACATGAGTTTTTGAAGAGGTCGGATGCTCCGGCACATGTGGCCTTGAAGTCGGCAAAATTCCCCCAGCGCTACACCGCTCCCCACCCGAAATCCTGCCAATGCCAGATCGAAATTCCAAAGAACCAGACCGATGTCCGAAACAAGGCCGCAAATTCTGCCAAACTTGTGACATCCAACAAGACGCCCACAGGCATTTGTCATGCTTGCGAGGGATTGGGACTTTGGGGTTTTGGCCACACGCTGCTCTTCAAATTCCTAAGCCCATGCTTACTGCATCACGAGACATGTTGGATGAGTGCATCAATCAAGGCTAGGGTAAAGTGGCATAAACCATGCTCATGCCGTTCTCTTCGCAACGATGGGCCGGTCCAAACTTGCAGGGCGCCTGCAATGCATCTATATGCAAGCTTGCAGTATTAGTATCCCAGAGAGTATCCCACATATACACTCACCGCTATGCAGAGGGAGCCCTACATACACTTACCAAACCCTTCCCCTTGCAACTGCCGTCGTCAACCTTGCGAGGTGCGACTAAGGTAATAATCACACTAACAAGCAAACAGCATCATTAATGATCGCATTAAGAATAACCATAAACTCATACGAATAGTTTAGCGAACATTGTACTATGCAATCGTATCCAGAATCATGTCCTCTTGGCAGCCGCACCGATAAGCACGTCGCCCTCCTTCATGGCCTCGCATGATGCACGAGGCTGCAGCTTCGTCTGCAGGTGATTCCTACTACTCGGATTCGCAATTGGATGGGCATTGTTCGTAGGGGGTTCAGGCTTTAGGGGCATTCGTTACTGGGCTTGGGATAGGATTGCTGCTCTGACGAAGTGTCGGACTTTCTAATCATTTCTGCATCCGCGCATGCAGCGGGAAGACTAGCAAGGCCACGTGGCAATACTCTGCTAGACGATTCCGATGAACGCATCATGCTGCATACAACGCAAACAGAAGGAATTCAGGCATACATGAGAGTAGTTAAGCGCAATACTGCTCACCATGCCATAAGCACAACAGATCAAGACTTATTCGCACCATCACCACTGCGTCCTTGTGGGTATCATCTCAATGGAATCTGTGGGAACACGTTGGCGCCGATAACCACCATCACCATCATCATCAGTGGATCCCAACAGCCACGAAGCCCAAAACACATCTCCTAGAAACCACCAAGGTCACTAAAGCACCAAATGCCTCCCGCTGTGGTAGCAGCTTGCCACCTCGCCCAGAGCAGGCTTTGGCAGAGCCCACTTAGTCCCAAAGTTGCGGCGCTCTTCGCGTTTTTCGGGTTCGGCACCCAGCATTCGCGTGGCTTCAGGGCTT